ATATATATATATATATATATATGTATATAAATAAAATATATATAAAGAAACAGTAATATATATATATATAGAAAAACAATGTGTGTATATATATATATATATATATATATATATATATATATGAAAAACAATGTATATATATATATATATATATATATATATATATATATATAAAGAAACAATGTGTATATATATATGAAGAAACAATATGTGTGTGTATATATAGTGTATATATATATATATATATATGAAGAAACAATGTGTATATGTGTGTGTATATATATATATATATATATATATATATGAAGAAACAATGTATGTATGTGTGTGTGTATATGTATATATATATATATATATATATATATATATATATATGAAAACAATGTATGTATGTGTGTGTATATATGTATATATATATATATATAAAAGAAACAATGTATGTATGTGTGTATATATATATATATATATATATATATATGAAGAAACAATATATATATGTGTGTGTATATATATATATATATATATATATATATATGAAAAACAATGTATGTATGTATGTGTATATATATATATATATATATATATATATAAATATATATGTATGTATGTATGTATATATATATATATATATATGAAGAAAATAATGTATGTAAATATATATATATAAGAAATGTATGTATATATATATATATATATATATATATGAAGAAATAATGTATGTATGTATATATATATATATATATATATATATATATATATATATATAAGAAACAATATATATATATATATATATATATATATATATATATAATAAATAAAATATATATAAAATGAAACACATTGGCATAAAGATATATTTTATTTATTTATATATAAGTTTCCATCCTTTTATTTATTTATAATATTTATTCATATATGAAAAAATTTCCCCTTATTTATATATAAAAAGGTTTTACTCTTTTAGTTATATTGTCTTTACAGATATATTTTATTTATATCTTAATTTTTACACACACACACACTTTGTAGTGTGTCAATTAAATGCTGGTTATGGTCAACCATGTAAAATTAAACAGTCATTTATTTCTATGATATTCAGCTGCATAAATTAACTATTAAAGATTTTTATATATATATATATATATATATATTATATATATATATTCTTTAAAATAAGATTATGTGCCCTTTTTGAGTAGTTGAGCTGATATTTTATTTTAACTAAAATGTAGAATTCTACAAATGCCATTGCCTTCCCTGTGCTGCTCCAGTAAGTTCCTGACTCCTCGTGCTATCCTCTACGTTTACAAGAGCTAGATCAAGCTGAAAATGGAGTGCTGCTCTCATATCTGAACAGGAGCTGACAAAAGCATCTCTGCGTTCTTGTGGGTGACAAATTTTCCACCCTGAAACCCCTCTCTCACAGGTGTGATGTAGCAAACCACTTGCTGTTCTATCACTACTTTCATGGAAAGTACCCAGACAAACAAGGTTTCTTAGTTCTTATAGAATCTTATAGATGCACACTTAATCATATATATATATATATATATATATATATATATATATAACCTAGATGGATTATCAAGCTGGTGATTTTCTGAAATGTGTTCTAAAATGCCATTTCACAACAATGCATTTTACAATTGTGATCCTCTAGAAAGCCTTCTCAGCAGCATCTGCAGACATGTTACCTCACTGCTTTACACATGCTCACTGAAAATAGAAAACTTGGTATTGCCAAAATCCTTATTGGCTCACTACTAAATGTACAATGTTTCTGTGATGTTACTCTAATGTACTTCAAGGGTTTCTTTGTTCATCTGTGCATTATGAGTGTCTAAATATTAAATAGATAGAGTCTAATAAATTTGTCAAACTTTCTTTTGCAATCCCCTTATATTTAAATTATCTCTCAAAAAATTGTGAATCCAGCCCCAAATCAAATCAGTTGTTCCTTCATGCCAAATCTTTCCTTGTAAGATAAACTACTAATATTACCATTACTATTGTCATCATTCTATGATTTTTCATGAACAGCATACACAAATCAAAAATAAAAAATTAACCTCCAGAGATGTTTGAACCTGCATCTCATATCTTTGGGCCTGCTTCATTTAAGAAATTAAAATACTATTACATTTAATATTGCTCCTCCTATGTAGCAATGAATGTTGGACAATCTTCTCATAGATGAAGAAGAGACTTGAGACAGCAGAAATTTGGTTCTACAGAAGGATACTGAGAATACCATGGAATGAACATGTGAGCAACAGCTAAGTTTTATGGAAAATGGAAACAAAAAAGACACTTAGTATCAGAAAGAGATAACTGAAATTTCTCAGGCCCATAATGAGAAAAGAAGGCTTGGAGAATTTGGCATTCAAAGGATATATTTAAAGCAAGAGGGACAGAGGAAAACAGTGCTTGAGTAGATGATTGGCAAAACCAGGATTAGAAGAGATAGCAAAACAGACAAACCTTACTCAGAGCTATAAAGGACAAGAAGTTGTGGAGTGTCATGATTACCCATGTCGGAAGAGACACAGCACATAAAAGAAGTTTTTTTTTTTTTTAAATCATTTCACCCCACATAAGGCAACAAAGCCACTAAGATGCAAGTGGTTACTGTGTGTAAAAAATATAAGAAAAAGAAAGACATTATTAAGGAGAGAAAACAATAAAAGAACAAGAATTAAGAAGACTGAAAATAACGATTGAGATTGCAATTAAATTTTTGTAAATCAAAGTTGACTGGAAAGCAAGAAGCTGGAAGTGAGTTCCAGAATCGAGACGTGTCAGAAAAGAAATTGTTAGCATGAAACGTACGTTTATATCTAGTTATTTCAACTGTAAAATGATGAGACCTAGCTGCCAATCTAGTACTGTGCTTAAATTTGTAGTCAAAGTACCAAAGAGAAAAGTTCATCAGAACAGTTACCATGAAAATATTTATAGAAAAAGCACAGAGAAGCTATGTTACAGTGGTGGGAAAGTAACTGAAGACGAGATGCCATATCAGGACTGATAACATAGCAGATTCTTCTTTTGATTTTATCAAGAATCTCTAAATATATAGCAGGAACACCAGACCAGATATGGCTGCAATATTCAAAGCAAGGAAGTATGGTAGACTTATAAATAGGTAAGATAGAGTCTAGTGAGAAAAATTGAGAACCAAATTTCCTAGCAGCAGGCTTAGCAGTTGATTCAATATAATCTTTCCACTTTATGTCGGCAGAAAACATTAGCCCAAGAAGGCATAACGAGTCACTCTCTTGGAGGTTAGCATCAGCCATGACTGATGGAAGACAAAAAAGGTTCTGAGATGATTAAAAGGAAGCAGATTCAGGAAATACAGAACCTGCATAAGAGAATTTTTTTTAATTATATTTTACAAGTACAATGAATTTACAAAATTATTCACATATTTCCATCATTTTTTGGCAGTACAAATAAGCAATTAAAATAATAATGAAAATTCTTCATATAAATTAAAAACACAAAAAAAATAACCATATTTCTGTATAAATTAATTATTTGCTGAATAAGTATTTATTTATATTTGCCACAGAATAAACTTTTACTTATTTGTTACTCTAAATGTGTTTCTTATTAAACCTACACTTGTAAATATATACGTTTCTGCATCTGCATATGGCATAGCTATGTGCATTTGTTTCTGGATATGCATATTTTTGTCATTAAATACACTGGTATGTGCAAATAATTTTTACACATTGATATGTCTACATTATTAATGATGTTAATAAAATAAAATAAGTAAATGTAACTTCCACAGTGGAAGGTGTATTGAGACCCTCATAATCGATGAGACCCTCTCTTTAATTCCACCAATTCAAACTTTTACAGTTAACACAAATCAGACTACATTTATAGTCAAATCACATATTTTTCCCATATTCCATTTGAAAGGAGGAAGTTTCACTTAGAGTTAAAATAATCAGATTTTTTAATATGCTACTGATCATTATTTTGTATAGACCAGTCAAGATATACCAACAACATTGTTTTTTATATATATATATATTTATTTCTACAATTTTTTTTACAAAAATGTACTGCTGGTAATTTTTTTCTACTATGAAAATGTATTGATGGTATTTTTACTATAAAAATCTATTTTTGTACTTTCATAGTGCTTTGACTCCAGTTTGCAGATTAACTATTTGCCCATAGCTGGGACCCTAACAGATGCTACTACCCCAGGTCAGGTTGAGCCTGGGAACAACAGCAATTAAGAGGTGGTTCCACACTTCTCAAAACCTCACGATCAGAGGCCTTACTGTCAGATGTAGTTTATCATCATACCTAGAATGTGACTTCATTACACAATTCATTCATCATTACTATTTCAACTATAACCCTCTACACTGAGTGGCTCCCAAGCCTTCCCAAAATTTGACCAAAGTTTCCTTGGTCTAGCTGAGAACTTTTCAGCATCTTCATGTTTATATTGACTGGATGAATTAAAAGTCTTGTATTTCATAAAGATAATGAAGGGTGTAAAACAGAAAATACTCATCAATAAGAAATTTTATGGATTATTTTTTTAATAGGGTACTTAAGGTTAAAATTTGTTTAATTGGGTACTTAAGGTTTTTTGTTTACATTATTTACATTGTTCAGTCTGTTGTCTTCATCTTTATTGCCATATTCACAACATTTTGACTATTTTATGCGCCAACCTTTTGATGATTGGAATTTCGAACTGAGCTCTTTATTTCATCCACCAATCACTTGATGAAGGCTGGAGTGTACGAAACGTCATAAATATACCATTAAAGATGAGGACAATAGTTCGAACAATGTAAATAATGTAAATAAATACAATACCTCATCTTGGAAACATAGACAGATATTTGTTTTTTTGTTTCAGAAACAATCAAGCTATATAACATTAAATTTTTTTTAATTTCCTTTAATACCTATAAACAAACAAAAAAAAGTTATTGTACAAATGCATTGTTTCTTTTCAGCTTGTCAACCCATTTAAAATTTTGGAGAATCTCAAGTCATCCGGGAAAGAAGTTCCTGCAGCATGCTGCTCTACTAAATGCTGTTAATTGCATTTTCATTTCTGTAGAAATGACAATTGGTCAACATTCTTGATACAATAACCACTTTCTGAAAATATTTAGCCTAGTTGTTAGCAAGCAAATTGGATCAACATTTTGAAAGGTTCACTTTTATAATATACAGTGTTTATGCACTTTGGTTTTTAATAATGTCAATATATCTGGGCTTTCTATTTTTTTTCACTACGACTTGCTTTTACTTAAAATAGAAGTAATTTGGGATGCTTTCTTTCTTTTTATGATAATAATAATAATAAATAGTTCAGACTTCAGATCTCCTTTGTTCTTTTCATGAGATTTTTTTTTTCAAATCAGAATCTAAACAATGTCACTTGGCTTTCAGAATCCATAGAACTGTCAACATTCCAGAAGCCTTGCTAATTGCTGAAAATACATTTTGTTTTTACATGTCTGAAATAGCCTGGTCGGATATTCTGTCCTTGTATTATGTTAAGCAATATGTCACTTGCTTTTAATTATGTTTGTGTCTTTGCGTGTGGCTTAAAGTTGACAAATATAAAAAGTTACTTGTTGAAAGTTAACTCCATTCAGGTAAATATTATATGAAGGCGCACATGGCCTAACAGCAAAAGGTGAAGAAAATCAAATCGGCAAGCTTGTGTTTCACTTCTGGCTGAAACAATTTTTGTGTCCACTTTTCACTAATGCTCTTGGAAAAGGCAGGAATACCCAAATCTTGATAATAAAAAAAAAAAAATAGCAAAAAAACCAAAAATGGAGTAAATCTTGTTAAAAAAAAAAATAGTCTAACCTCCTAAAAAACTTTCTTGCTAAAATATGATAGGTGTGCAAGCTGATAGACTGATTGGGTTCAGGAACCAGGAATAGTGCATATTATTATTTTTATTTTAATATATAAAACAAAATGTTAATTAAAATAACCTATAATACAGTGTATTAAGCTCTAATTAGTTCTGTGACGATTCGGGATGGTTTTTTTTTTTCTTTTTTGTGGTGGCAGGGGGTCAAATATGTGTAGAGTGGTGCACATGATAATATTTCTTTTGTTTATTTGTTTTCTCCAGGGAAGTGTTGAAAAGCTCTCAGCCTGCTAAATATATCCCACCATACACACAAATACCCAAGATATTTGGTCATTTAGATTTTTGGAAGCTGATTGGGCTTAGAACTTTCAATATTTCATATATAAATTCTTAATAATGTTTTTTTTAAAATTTGACAAAGAAGAAACAAAATTAAAGGACTAGAAATTACAAAACGATAATTGATTAGAGAGAGAGAGCTGTTCTTCTCACTCCATGTGCAATAAAACCTCATCCACAAGCATCCAGCTGTTGAGAGCAATCATATTTTCCATGTCTTTTTATACATGAACTCATTGTTTTCCAAAAGATTTTTTTAAAATGTTTCTTCAAATTCACTGATGCCAAATGTTCAAATGTCTTTGGGAATTATTCATTGGTAAGATAGATTGCTAGCTGAAAAAGTAGGAGATGGTCAAATGTCAAACCTGCTCTTTTAAGTTTCTTATGCAGATAGTTTTATAGATGAGTTACGGCCCTTAACCAAAAGACAAAATCTTTGGTTGTCTCCCCTTGTCACTTAAATACGTATAAAAGCAGTCTTCTTTTATCACTGATTAGTTGTCTGTACCAGATCAGTCTGGAACTTACAACTTGTATGCTTTACACAAGATAGATTTAAAGTCTTAAATTTACCAATAAAAACAAAATGATTTTCTTTTTTCAAATATTCCATTAAACTGCTAAAGACTCCACACAAAATAATAATTACAAATGGATGACATTGTGTTAAAATAATCAGATTTTTTATTATGCTGCTGATCATTATATTTTGTATAGACCAATCAAGATATATATACAATATTGTTATACATTTTGTTTAAAGTATCTTACTAAGCTTTAAAATCAGGACTTAAAATGACAATTTTCTTTATCTGCAAATAAACTATTTTACATTCTCAAGAAAAATTTTGTTCTGTAGATTTGTTGAAGAATTCTCAAAGAAATTCTTTTGTTTGTATGAAATCTCTTGTCTAGCTTCTTTACCAAGTTTTGGCCACTGTAATCAATCCTCCTTTGGGTAACAAGAGAAGCAATACCATAATTAAGACTCTTTGAAAACATAAAAATTCTTTCTTTTTTTCTTTTTTTTTGTTTGTTACAAAAAAAAATTACTAATGATTTTTTTTTTTAATTTGCAAATAACAAGATTCCAAATGAAACTGATTTTGCTGCATTTTGAAATAACTAACAAATTACTTTTAAAATAATCAGGGTTATTTTTTTTCTCCATACTCAAAATCTTTCTGCTTCAAATGCAAATAACAAAAAATATCTCTCTCGTATGCATTTTTTTTTAAAATTCACCGTATATAAAATTGAATCATTTGCTCAATATTAGTTGACAATAAACAATTTGCTTCTTTGTAGTGTGTGATCTATATTATTCTAATTTTAAATATTCAAAATTTACAATGATACAAAAATTTGTTCACTAAGAAAAAAAAAAGAAAAATTTTGTGAAATATTGAAAAAATTTTTGATTGAACGAAACAGGCTTTTTTCTGGTGTTTTTTATTGCACCAAGTCAGTTTCTTGTGATTTAGAAAACTATATTTTACTTTTTGATGTATATTTTATTGAATAAAATCTGACTTTTATATTTGAAAACATGATTAAAATTTTGTTGCCTAAAAAATAAAATTTATTTTTACTTTGGTTTATATTCTCACATCTTTTGTTTTATGATTTATTTTTAAGAGACATGAAATATAGTTGAGGAAAAAGAAGTATTTAGACACTTGCAAAATATTTAATGTACTTCTGATATTGACTTTAAATTCACACAGTTTATGTATTTTGATTGAAAATTAATAATTACTCACAATCAATACATATTTTCAAACATACAATGAATAAATCATCATCGAACATTATGGTGAAAAATGTATTTTCTGTTTGAATTTCCATGTTGAAGAGTTATTTAAGTTTGAACTAGTGTCATCTTTTATCATTAACACAATGTTTCAACCATTGTGATCTCTGGCCTTCTTCAGGGATTTGTTGATCTGGTTAACCTTCAAAACATTTTGAACTAAAATCCTGTAGATTTAGATAAATTTCCTAAAGTTTAAGTATGATAAAAATATATAATTTTTTTTTTTTTTTTGGAGTTATATTCACTTGGTAGAAGGCCTGAGAACCACTCAAGACAGATGTAACCTCCAGAAAATGGTTTTCAATGCCATACCCTACAGAAAACAACATGGCATTACAATAAACTCCAGTTTACTGAATGGATACTTTTTAATATCTCTTCATGGATTATTCGATTTTCTTATTACAAGAATCCTCACAGGATTTCATTCTCTTGAAATCCCCTGCCCATTTGAAACTCTCCCTACTGCACACTATATTTTATCAGAATGAATAACGTATAAAAACTTAAAGATATGCATAAAAAATTATTGCATTTTTATTAAATACTAGCTTAAAAGCAGCCATATCGGGCAACAATTAAGCTAGCTCCTGCAGAGGGCTCTTGTTCAGCTTGTTCAGAAGTTTGAGAGTTACTAAGTCTTTGCATATTTTCAGCACTGGAAGCTCTCCTGGCTACCGTTTGATCTGGGTTTTCATTTGCATGGGACTTTCTTTTCTTTGTTGCAGCCTTGGTTCTTTTGATGTTGCCGCTGTATGTGATATGCAACAATAAACTACAGAAGAACTCAAAATTGATCGCTGCATTTAAATATTGCATTAATATCTAAGCTTATCTTTTAAAAGTTCAATGTTAATTCTTCTGCCGCCACTTAATTTAAAGACAATTTGATGTACTTAAGTCCTTATTTTCCATATGAATGTCCGAGAAATTTTCATAGAATTTTTTCATTCAGGCTAGTAAATGTTATTAATACTGTTTATTATAAACAGAGCATTTACTTAAATATTTGTATCTATAAAAAGAATGTATAAACATAAAAATGTCTTAAAATAATTGTTAGACTTTGTCCATTTCATAATGTGTGACGTCATTTGTTTACATTTGGATACGCCATGAGCAGATATGAATGTATGTGAGAGAATCATATAGGATACAGGTTCAATTCCTGTCAGAGGACGAATATTTTCTATGAAAATTTCTCGGACATTCAGGCAGGTAAATGTTATTAATACTGTTTATTATAAACATAGCATTTACTTAAATATTTGTATCTATAAAAAGAATGTATAAACATAAAAATGTCTTAAAATAATTGTCGGACTTCGTCCATTTCATTATATATATATATATATATATATATATACATATCGTCAACTCTCCCGTCAAATTCGGCATATGAGGGTCAAGCAGATCAGTTCCTAGGAAACCGACAGCCCGACAACAGCACATGAACATTGATTATAGTGGTGAAGGTTTTGTGCAGGACCATCCACACTTGAAGGGCCGAATACAGAGACCTGGTACACTCAGTGCCACAAGGTCCCCAAACGACCCTCCGCAGGTTTTGAATTCAGAGTTGTCTTTCTCCTAGACCAATTGCCATCCAAGGCTATAGAACCCAGTCTGTCCTGCTATTTACCCATAGCTGAAGGGAGAAGAAGAGGATTCACACCTTTCCCAAGGTTATTAGCACGCAAGTGAACGTAATAGATTCGACTGGAATTCGAACTCAGCTCTTTGATTCCTCACTCCACTCCTATATATATAATTGTATGGCATCTGTATATTGTACTGTTGTATATAAAATATTTTCAGGTACAATTCGTTTTTCAGGTTAATATCTGAATTATTCTATCCTACGCTAAGATGTTAGTATGTTACGGATAAGCTAATGTTTAATGTGGGCCTTGGAGAGTGGAGAAAATCCCCAGATTTCTTCTCGCTTTCCAAACGCCCTATTAACGTAAATATTTCTGAATATTGTATTTGTGGGATTTTTTATAATTTTTTTTTTAAAGAAACAATTTCATTTTTTTTTCTAT